ACAGCCCCAGACATCCCCTGCAGGCAAAGGCCAGGTCGTGGTGGGGAAAGGCCCCTGGGAGGCAGCCGTGGGTCTCTTTAGCGCTTTTCTCAGGGTGCAGAGAGCGTCCCCTTAGTGCCCATGGGTGACCCCCCTGCTGTCTGGGAACTTGGCGCTCTACAGTGGCACAAAGGTGGGATGTGAGCTGTTGTCCCTGCCGCGTCTGGGAGCCACTGATGTTGTGGGGGCTGAATCCATGCCAAAGGGCTTCTGGGTGTAGGGGTGCAGGGTGGGCAGCCACCTTGCCCTGTGGGCCCCCCCGGGTCCCGGGAGTACACACCCTCACTCACCCCAGAGCAGCCGGCACCTCTGTTAGCTGGGGAAGCCCTGTGGTGCCCAGGGCCACACCTGGCAACATCCCCCACAGGTGTACCCCTCGTGTGCTCAGCATGTCCCCAGGGGCCTGCTATTAAGCCTGGGAATGAAAGCCTTCTCTGAACTAGGCCCTCCGTGGTGGCAGTCACCCTCTCTGAGGGCATAGAGCATACCACTCTCTTGACCCCATGACAGCTCCCATCTCCACGGTGGGAACTAAGGCCCCACTGGGTGCCCCGAGGGTCCCACCCCACAAGTCCTCACCGTCCGTCAGTGGGAACCCCATTCAGGAAGCCCTTCCTGGGGCTGGGTCTCTCGTTCCTCCTTTGATCCCACAAGGGGCCATCATGCCCACCTCCCACCCCCACTCTGACTGTAAACTCCTTGAAGGTGGAACCAAGTAACCCCCTGCCCTCCCCCCACTGGGTGCCCCCATGCTTCCCCCACCGATTTTGGAGTGGAGGGCGCTGTCACTTGTCCCCTGGGAGTGGCAGATGGCCGCTTGGCTTAGAAAGGAAAACAACACAATTTGGAATTCGTCCCGGGTGAAAGGTCGGGGCAGCATCTGCCTCTGGGGTCTCATTTCTGCGGAGCGCGGGAAGAGGGTCCGCAGCCGGGGGCCACGCAGGGGCAACATTGAAGGTGGAACAAAGCACGAGACTGGGTAGCAGACATGGGGGCCGTTTGGCACCCTGGCAGTGCCGTCTGCCGGAAGCCCGGCCCGTCCACGATCCTCCCCCAGGGCACTTGGCAGCGCTCACCTGCTGGACGAAGCCTCCTGGGGGGGCGGGGGAGCTCGAGTCTCCCGTTCTGGAGAGAGGGCGCCCCTGGGGAGGGTGGCAGCCCTGGTAGTGGGGACCCCCAGGCTGCAGCGTGGTGTGCACCCTCAAGGCCAGGCCCTAGCAGGGGCACCGAGCGGCCCTGATGGGCAGAGGCAGGTGGTGAGGTAGGCACAGTCCCTTGGCCAAATGTGGGCACCATCTGTCCCTCAGTCGGGGCCATCGGTGCGGGGCAGGGGTGCCACCCAGGGGTGAGGGGCTTGGGGGGGTCACAAGCAGTAATGGGCCTCAGGCAACGGTCTTAGGGCTCCCCCACCTTCGCAGGGATATCTCGGTGCCGTGGAGAGGAGGTGACAGGTGTCTGGCCAGGTGGGAAGAGAGAGACACAGATGGGCATGGGCTGGGGGCTGCCAGTGGGAACTCCTTTGTGGGGATGGAAGAAACAGGGTGGTCTTGGAGCTGTGTCGCCCGTGCCCAGGCCCCCCAGCACCCAGACCCTCCCTGCTGGCTCAGCTCCCCACAACCTAGCACCTCCTGCAGCACACACCTGTCAGGCCGGTGACCCCCACGGAGGCCTCTCCACCCCTTGGTTCTGCCCAGCCCTGTGGAGGCCTGTCCTGGTGGCCATGACTGAGAGCGGCCGTGGGTGCTGGCGTGGACGGCGGGAGCAGCCGGCTGCCCGCGTGCCATCACTGTGGCGGCCGGGAGGGACAGGGACAAAGGGCTCTCAGTGTGCATTCCCGAACGGGGAGCCTCCCGCCCGCCTGTGGGTTGGCGGCTGGCCGCGCCCGCCTGGAGCAGCTGCCACAGCGTCCTCGTCTGCAGACGCACCTGCTCCTCCTTGCCCCTTTGTTGGCTGCAGACGCCTGGTTTACCAGGCGCACTCTTCCTCCTCTCCGGCCGGTGCAGGAGCTGGGCGCCCTGGGGTCCCATGGATGCCCATGGGCCCCCCGCTGAGGTCTGCATCCAGCAGGGACGCTGCCCCAGGCCGGAGGGTCTCTGGCCCACCAAGGACTCCTGGTGCCCTGTCCCCCGAGGGCTTGCAACAGGGACAGCTTTAGGGGCTGGGCCCAGGTGGCACTGGGGGGCTCCTGGGGGCAAGGCCTGCCCCATCCTGCCCCCCACAGGCGCCCCTTTCCGGGCTGCCCAGTTTGCCAGGGTGGGGGATGGGCGTGGAGCTGGCCAAGTCTGATGAGGCGGCACCCTCTGTTCGCCCCCCCCGCCCCCGGCTTTGTCAGCAGCTGGAAGGAAGAAAGACCCTTTTCCTCTGAGTGGGACCTGAGGCCGAGCTCTCGCCTACAATGGGGGGCATTGTGGGACCTGAGGCTCCCGCCTGACAATGGGGGGCATTGTGGGAGGCAAGCCCCACCCCCACGCCTGGCAGACCAGCCTGTCCGTAACTGGATCCAGGCACAGGCCAGGGGATGCTGGGGGCAGTGCCCGCTCCCCAGGAGCCCCCTGGCAGGAGCCCCGGGCCCCAAGAGGCCGGTGTGGACGTGGGGGGGCCATGGCACGAGGGGGGCGGGGGCTTCCAGGTCGGATGCGCCCCCTCCCCCGAGTGTGCGGGGCAGGGGCCATGTGAGGAAGGCCTGAGTTAACTCCCAGGGCCTGGGGGCGGGGATTGGTTTTCTTTAAACCAGTTGGTTTGGGACTTTTGGCTTCTGGCAACAGATGGTGGGCCTGAGTGGCCATTTTGCGTCCGCCGGTCCATTCACCCCAAGCCGCGGCCACAGATAAAAGCCATCAGGAAAGCAGATGCCTCCCCGGCCGCCAGGATGGGGTGGGCCAGCTGCTGAGAAACGAAGCCCCCAGCCGCAGCCCCTCGGGGCCTCTGCTCGGGGTCCGCCTGGCGGGACCGGAGCTGGCGGATGGGCAAAGTGGACAGAGCTGGGGGCGGCCTTCCCAGGGCTGGCGGAGCTGGGCGGGGCCTGGCAGGGCCGTTCTGCCTCAGAGACTCCGCTGCTGGGAAGCTCCAGGCCTGGCGGGTCCCAGCGCCTTTCCTGGGTGACCTGGGCCAATGATTTATGGCCTGGGCCCTGGAGGCTGGCCTGGCAGGTGGCGGGGGGTGGGGGAGCTCTTAGGTGGGGTGGGCAGACCCTCCCCTGCTCAGCCGCTCTGCCAGCGCCCGGGCTGTGGGGGAGGCGCAGGCCTGCTCTCGGCCCCCTGGACCAGCTCACGGAGGTGGGACCCCCCCCACAGTGTGTCATTTTCCCAGCCTGATGTGGGTGCCCAGGCCCCCTGGTGATGCTGTGGTGATGGGATGTTGTCTGGGTGTCAGGGGCCAGGCAAGGGAGATGCTGTGTAAGACCCTCCAAAGGGAAGGCTGCCACGTGGGAAAAGCCAGTTCCCACGTTCTGGGTTGTGTGGAACAGAAAACCCACGCTTCCTTCATGACCTGGGTGCTGCACACATGTTACAGCATAACTGGATACGCAGCCACACGGGGTCCCGCCAGAGTGCGGGGTGCCACGGGGTGCAGGCTTAGCGCCTGCTGGAGAACCCTGGGGTCTGTCTTGGTCACCAGGGGCTGTTCTCATGAAAACACCACCCATGGGTGGCTTTCAGAGAGGCCGTTACCTTCTCACAGTCCCAGAGGCTCCGGGGGAGGCCGTCCTTGCTTCTAGACCCTGATGTTCCTTAGCATCTGGGATGTGTGTGTGTGTGCGTGTATGTGTACATGCGCATGTATGCTTGACATGTATGTGTGGGTGTGGGTGCTGTGAATGTGTGTGTCTGTGTGCACTTGTGTGTGTGCGTGAATGTCTATGTCTATGTCTCTGTGTATTATGTACTTCTAGGAGCTCTGGTGGTGTAGTGCCTAAGGCATGTGACTGCTCACCAGAAGGCTGGCGGTTCAAACCCACCAGCTGCTCCTCGGAAGGAAGGTTGGGCAATCTACTTCCATAGTGATACCGCCTCAGAAATCCAAGGAGGGGTCACTATGAGTCCGGGTCCAACTCGACGGCAGAGAGTTGGTTTTATGCATATTTCTGTGTGTGCCTGTGTGCATGTATCTGTGTGTGCCTGTGTGCTTGTGTGTGTGTACATGCCTGTGTGTGTGTGTCTGTGTGTGTATGTCTATGTGTCTGTGTGTTGTCTATGTGCATGCATCTGTGTATATGTATGTCTGTGTTCTGTGTATTTGTGTGTATGCGTATGTCTCTGTATATATGTCTGTGTGTATGTCTATATGTGTCTCTGTGAGTGTATGTCTCTATGTATGTATGTATGTGTGTGCTTGTGTCTGTGTCTGTATGTGTATGTCTGTGTGTCTGTGTATGTGTGTAGGTCTCTGTGTCTGTGTATTTATGTCTGTATGTCTGTGTGTCTATGTGTATGTCTCTATGTATGTCTGTGTGTCTGTATATGTCTGTATGTCCCTATGTCCATGTGTCTGTCTGTCTGTGTGTATGTGTATGTTTCTGTGCATGTGTGTGTCTGTCTGTATGTCTGTGCATGTGTCTATATCTGTGCATGTCTATATCTGTCTATGTCTGTCTGTACATGTCTGTATGTCTGTGTGTGCATGTGTGTATTCTGCCCGTTTACAACTCACATGTGATTAGATTTAGGATCCCCTCTGTTCACATATGGTCTTATTAATGTGACAATAGGAAACCCCTGTGTCAAATAGGGTCACACGCACAGGTATCAGGGTTAGTTAGGACTTTGATGCATATTTTAGGGGGACACAGCTCAGTTAAAAATGGCCGACATCGCCATCAGCTCTGAACGTGAACCCTGTGCCTGGCTGTACCTGTGGGGGTGGGCTCAGTGCCGGGAGGTTCTGGGAGGATCAGCCGTGTGATGAGTTCGAGGGGCAGGGGCGGATGGGTGGTAGGTTCACCATGTGGCCTCTCCCAACAGCTGCAGCGGGGCCTTCGTGGGCCAGCGGTGCCAGGCGCCCAGTCCCTGTCTCAGTGCCCCCTGTAAGAACGCCGGGACGTGCCGGGTGCTGGAGCGTGGCGGCACCGTGGACTATGCCTGCAGCTGCCGTCTGGGCTTCTCCGGCCCGCTCTGCCTGACGCCGCTGGACAACGCCTGCCTCACCAGCCCCTGCCGCAACGGCGGCACCTGCGACCTGCTCACGATCGATGACTACCAGTGCCGCTGCCCCCCGGGCTGGTCAGGTGAGGGCAGCCGGGTCCTCCCCCGAGGCCTTGGCTGGGCAGTGTGCTTCAAAGAGGGCCCGGGGCCCAGAGTCTTGGACCCTTTCGCTGCCCTGGTTGTCAGAAGCTCAGGGACCACCTTCAGTGTCCTGGAGTCAGTGAGGAGGGGACCCTCGTTCCCCCAGTGCCCTGGCCTTGGTCAGTGTGCTGCCAGAGGGGCTCCTTTTAAGAGCACAGCTTCTGGAAGGAACAGAGCTGGTTGGATCCTGACACCACCACTCCCTGCTCACCAGTGAGCCCTGGACGGGGCTCCTTATCCTCTCAGAAATCGGGGTCCTCACATGCCCCAGAGAACCCTGTCCTGGGACCTAGGCCCTAACCCCCGCCACCCTCCCCTCAGGGAAGACGTGCCAGCAGGCTGACCCTTGCGCCTCCAACCCCTGTGCTAACGGCGGCCAGTGCCTGCCCTTCGAGGCCTCGTACATCTGCCACTGCCCACGCGGCTTCCACGGCCCCACCTGCCGGCAGGACACGAACGAATGCAGCCAGAGCCCTGGGCCCTGCCACAACGGGGGCACCTGCCACAACGAGGTTGGCTCCTACCGCTGTGTCTGCCGTGCCACCCACACCGGCCCCCACTGCGAGCTGCCCTACCTGCCCTGCAGCCCCTCACCCTGCCAGAACGGGGGCACCTGCCGCCCCACAGGAGACACCACCCATGAGTGCACCTGCCTGCCAGGTACACGTGCCTCCACCTCCGAGGAGTCCAAGAGGGTGGGGGGGGCGCCACTGTGAGGCAGGAGCACGGGAGCTGGGCGGGGTGGGAGACCCCCAGTGCGGAGAAGGGGGCACTCTAAGGGGTACCTGCCAGGAGGTGGCTCAGTCGTGGGTCCAGGCACCACTCCATCTGGGTCTGTCTGAGTGGGTGGCAGGCCCGAGCCCCCAGCACGCTCCAGAGGGGGACAGAGCCTGGGACTAGAAAGCCCACCTGTGCGTCCCCACCTGCACCCAGGCCCTCTGGGGCCCTCCCAGGCTGCCCTTTCGTCTTTCCAGTTGCCTGGAGCCCACACACGGGACAGACCCCCCCAACACTGCTGAGCACCCAGTTGGTGCCGCCAGGGGCTTCCCCACACAGCCTCATCCGGATGAGGCTGTGAAGGAGCCCTGGTGCACTGTCACTTCCCCTGGCCCCCCATGGGTGTCGCCTGGCTCCCACAGTGGGGGAGGGGTGCTCAGGCACAACCCATCCTCCCCCGCCCCCCCCCCACCGTCTGCTGTGGTTTTTGTTTGAGTCAGCTTTGCTGCTGTGTTAAAAATGACGATGAGGACGGGGGGTCGGGGACTTCTGGTCTGTTCAGCTGCGTTCCCGACAGTTAGATGGGATGGGGACCGGGCGCAGGGGCAAATGGGATTGGAGGGTCAGGGCGGAGCCAAGGGCCCTGCCGATCCAGGGGTGACCCAGAGGCCCCCCCGCCCGGCTCTGCGAAGGGGAAGTGGGCCCTGCTGCCCCTAGTCACCTTGGCCGGCTTGCAGACACTAGGCGCCTGTGTTTCCTACTACTCACCCAGGCTTCTTGTGGCAGCTGTGGGTCTGGGGGGCAGTGGCCCCCTTTCCCCAACCTGAGGAGCCAGCCGCTGGCCTCTCCACCCTTGCTGCCTGTCTGGTGGCCCCCAGGCTCTGGATTCAAATCCCTTCCCGGCAGCCTGTGGTTCCCAGGCTGACCCCTCACTTCTGTCCCCTTGGAGTGAGGGGGCCTACCCTTCACGGGCGCTCAGGGCTCTAGGAGTGGGCAGGAGGGAAGGGGTGGCCAATGGGGTCCCCGTGAGCTGGCTGGCTGCCCCTCTGATGGGTCATGGAGGGTGGGCTAGAACAGTGACCCAATCCAGGGGCAGGGGCCCACCCTAGCTCCCCCCAGCCCCTGCCAGTTCTCCTGGTGGCCTGTGCCTGGCATGGGGTCATGGGTACCCCCTGGACTCTGCGAGCACCTGGCTGCTCTCTGGAGCTGACTGGCCTGGCAGTCAGCACCCACAGCCCACAGTGGTCCCATTTTACAGGGCAGGGAACTGAGGCAGGAGCTGAGGGATGGCCCTGGCATCTCACAGTGAGGAGCGGCCATGGAGTTCCATGATGGGCTTGCTCTCACTGAGACCAGTGCCTTAAACCCCGTGGCCCAGCGCCGGCCCTGCTCCTCAGAGAGGCGTCATCTCGCCACAAGCTTGGGCGGAGCCAGGCCTCGGCCCCTTGGCTTCCAGTTGGGGCGTTGCCAACCACTCCCTGATTTGATCTGGCTCTGTGCAGCTAGTGGGGTTGGGGGGTGCTGAGGACAGGCCCAAACGGTTGGCTCCCCAGGGCAGGCGGGTTTGAAAGACACCCTGGGAGGGGCATTAATTAGTAACCAGCTGCAGGTGGCCCATTGCCAGGCACACCTTTCTGGGTTGATCATTGAGTGGGTGGGGGTTCGAGGGTTAATAGCTAACAAGGGCCTCGGTGGTGTGGTAGAGGTGGGATGGGGCTCTGGTGTGGTAGAGGTGGGATGGGGCTCGGGCTGTGGGGGAAGGGGCGGTTCCCGGCTGCCAGCCCTGCCTGGCCCTGCCCCCTGGTTCCCAGGCCCTACGCCCACCCTGGAAGTGCTTCTGTGGCCATGCTCTGGGCTGTTGTAGACCGTTCAGCCCAGCACGCAGCCACTGACAGTGCCTGGTCGGGAGTGGCAGAGCTTCTGCAACCCTGCTCCTGGGCCCTGTCTGCTCAGCTGGCCAAGGACACAGTGGCTCTTCAGAGAAGGGCATGTCCCTGTGGTGTGGAGTGGGGCCTGCCACAGACGCAGGGCCGTGGGGCAGCTCTTCTGTCTGGAGTGGGCCTGTGGTCCAGCCGGGAGAGGGTTGACAGATGCCCCCACACAGGCTTCACCGGGCAGAACTGTGATGAGAACCTGGATGACTGCCCAGGGAACAGCTGTAAGAACGGGGGCACCTGTGTGGATGGCGTCAACACCTACAACTGCCGCTGCCCACCCGAGTGGACAGGTGCGCGTAGACAACCACACAACCCCTTACCGGCTGTGCAGACGGGGCCTGGGGGGGAGGGCCCGTGGGACCCCTTAGCAGCTGTGCACACTTGGAGTGGGCCGCTGCCAACCCAGTGGACAGACACGTACTGGGGGAGTCCACACTACCCCTGTTAGCAGTGTGTACCCAGCAGGGGCTGCGGCCCACCCAGTGGATGGGCACATGCTGGAAGGGGTCCTCTCCAGCTGTGCAGATAAGGATGGTGGCGTGTGGCAGGCCCAGGGTTGGAGAGCTGAGGTTGGCAGAGCAGAACAGTGTTACTCGTCACAACATCTCTGCCCATGACTCAGGGTCAGGGGCCCCACCGGAGCCAGCACAGATGTGGTGTCAGCCAGTGTGGGGGCTGCTATAGTCTAGCCCCAGACTGTCCCCTCCCCAGTCTTAAGACAGGCAGTGAGCCTTCAGCCTGTCATCCAGGCCAAGTTTACCAAGTCCCGGCGGTGAGCAGTTTTGGGTGGGTGGGCAGGGGCCCTGGCCTTGGGAAGCTTGCTCTGTGGGGTGATGGGTGAGCATGGACCCCAACAGAACCACATCTGTGATCTGAGCAGAGCATGACTCAGGTGGCCATAGGAGAAGGGCTCAGCCAGGAGGCTTCCTGGAAAAGGAGAGATAGCCAAGGTGGCCGGGCTGACATGCCACCCCCACAGGCCAGTACTGCACAGAGGACGTGGATGAGTGCCAGCTGATGCCCAACGCCTGCCAGAACGGGGGCACCTGCCACAACACTCACGGTAGCTACAACTGTGTGTGTGTCAACGGCTGGACTGGCGAGGACTGCAGTGAGAACATTGATGACTGTGCCAACGCTGCCTGCTTCCACGGCGCCACCTGCCATGACCGTGTGGCCTCCTTCTACTGCGAGTGCCCCCATGGCCGCACGGGTGAGCACTTGGGGCCAGCCTGGGCCCAGCGGACCTCAGACATGGACAGACAGTGCTGTCCCAGGGTCCAAGGATGACCTAGGGAGCTTCTGAGCCAAAGAGGGCAAGGGAGAGCCCTCCCCTGCCGGGTCAGAAGAGCCCGGGTTGTGGGCCATGGTGGGAGCTCCTGGGGGTCCAGGCTAGGGGTGGCCTGCTGTGACCTCTGACCTGCTGCCTGGCCCAGGTTTGCTCTGCCACCTGAATGATGCCTGCATCAGCAACCCCTGCAACGAGGGCTCCAACTGTGACACAAACCCTGTCAACGGCAAGGCCATCTGCACGTGCCCCTCGGGCTACACAGGGCCCGCCTGTAGCCATGACGTGGAGGAGTGCTTGCTGGGTGTGTGCGGGGGTTGAGGGGTCAGGGAGCATGGGGAGGCCCCGGGGTGCATGGGGCAGGCTTGGGGTGCAAGGAGACACTCAGTGCCTGAGATAGGCTCAGTGTCCAGGGGGAGGCTGGGTACAGAGGCGGCTCAGGGGCACGGGGCAGGCCCAGTGTCGGGGGCAGGCTCAGGGTGCCCAGCCCCACAGGGGAATGGAAGCAGACCCAGCCTCAGGGCGCTCCAGTCTGCTGAGAACAGCAGCCTCAGCACAGTGTCCCCCAGGGCACTCCAGAGGCCAGCCAGAGCAGCCCCTCACTTGCGCCCGGTCCTTGCAGGTGCGAACCCCTGTGAACACGCAGGCAAGTGCATCAACACCATGGGTTCCTTCGAGTGCCAGTGTCTGCAGGGCTACACGGGTCCTCGCTGCGAGATTGATATTAACGAGTGCGTGTCCAGCCCCTGTCAGAACGATGCCACCTGCCTGGACCAGATCGGGGAGTTCCAGTGCATCTGCATGCCTGGTGCGTCCACAGGCCGCTGCCCTGCCCCAGCCACACCTGTGTGGGGCATCTGGGGAAACTGAGGCCAGCCTGGGCAGGAGGACCAGCACCTGATGGAGCACTCACGATCTCATCACTCCCTCCTCAGGCTATGAGGGCATCTACTGCGAGCTGAATACTGACGAGTGCGCCAGCAGCCCCTGCCTGCATGGGGGCCACTGCCTGGACAGGGTTAATGAGTTCCACTGCGAGTGCCCTACGGGTGAGTCCCCACGGCCATGGCGCCCCATGCACCCCAGACGGGGCAGCTATACTCTGTGTTCCGCCACCACGGCCCACCATGACCCGCAGTACCCAGTGAGCCCCAGACAGGGCGGCTGCACCCCTCTGGGAGTGTGGCTGGAGCCCCTGCCCACGGAGGAGGGTGTTGACACCCTGGCCCAGGTCTTGGCCTGCAGAGGAAAACCCCCACCACTGTTCCAGAGGGTAGGACTGCAGGAGGCGGCCCCAGGGGAGAGAGTGGGCCCGGTGTCCTGGTGTTCAGGGCAGCGAGCGTAGCAGCACCTTGCTGGGTGTGGGCCTGGGGGCGCTGGAGAAGCCGCATGCCCTCCTCACAGACACACAGGCTCCATTCTCTCCACTGGAGCCTCTGGTGCTTCCCCAGGAGGGGAGGGTGCCCCAGCTGTGCCAGGGTGGGCCAGGGAAGGCGTCCTGTTGGAGCCCAGAGCCTCCAGAGATCTGGACCACCACCCTGCCATGGCTGTTGCCACAGCAACCAGGAGTCCTTTGGAAAAAGGCCCCTCCTGCTGGAACAAGGGATGCAGCCTGCCTGGTGGTGGTTGCTCTGAAGGGAGGAGATTCGTGGGGGGTGTGGACACGGGCCTCAGTGGGTCTCTGAACTGCGAGCCTAGCATGAGTGGCAAGAACGGCCTGTCTGCCCACTGGCCCTCCCGACTGCAGGCTTCACGGGACACCTGTGCCAGTATGACGTGGACGAGTGTGCCAGCACACCCTGCAAGAACGGCGCCAAGTGCCTGGATGGGCCCAACACCTACACCTGCGTGTGCACAGAAGGTGCGGGGGACGTGGCGGTGACCTGTCACTGCCTGAGGGAGTGAGTGGGCAGGAGGCCTGGAGGTGCCCAGTGCGTGGACCCAAGTGGGAGACGCCCATCCCCTCCAACCCAGAGCACAGTGATGCGTGCAGTGGCCTCTGGGTGGGTGCTATGTGTGCTGGGGCCGGGCAGCCTGTGAGCCTCCTGCCCTCACCCCAGGCTACACAGGCACCCACTGCGAGGTGGACATTGATGAGTGTGACCCTGACCCCTGCCATTACGGCTCCTGCAAGGATGGCATTGCCACCTTCACCTGCATCTGCCGGCCTGGCTACACGGGCCACCGCTGTGAGACCAACGTCAATGAATGCCACAGCCAGCCCTGCCGCCATGGGGGCACCTGCCAGGACCGGGACAACGCTTACCTGTGCATCTGCCTCAAGGGCACCTCAGGTGCGGGTGCTGGGCACCGGGCGCCGGGCAGGTGGGCAGGCAGGCAGCAGGGTGGGTGCCAGGCGTGGGGGTGCTGACCCCACTGCCACCCCTCCCAGGGCCCAATTGTGAGCTCAACCTGGATGACTGTGCCAGCAACCCCTGCGACTCAGGAACCTGCCTGGACAAGATCGATGGCTACGAGTGTGCGTGCGAGCCCGGCTACACAGGTGAGCCGCCCAGGTGAGGGCTGGCCGAGGGCGCGGGAGGGAGGCTCTGTCCCTAGTGTCACAGCCCTCACGTGGGGTCAAGGCTGTGCTCAGAGGAGGGGCCGGGTCGGGGAGGCTTTGTGGTGACCGGGGCCGTGGTGAGGATGACGCAGGCCAGCTGCCTCACTGTTGAGTTACTGCCCTGGGCCAGCCTCAGCAGGGCCACGGCGCTGCTACTGAGCAGGCAAAGTGCACCCGTGACCCCGGCTGGAGGGCGGCCGGCAGTGCCAGACCAGATGCCCGAGGCCACAGTCTGGGTTCAGATTCTGCTCTACCCTGTCCACCTGCCTTGACTGCTGGCAGCCTCTCTAGGCCTCATTCTCACCTGTCAGGCGGACAGGGCACACTGTCACCCACAGTGCCTGCTCTGGTTTACGTACTCTGAAGGGCCCAAGGGAGGGGGTATCAGTTCTGGGCCAAGACAGGGAGACAAAGGCTCAGAGAGGTCAGAGCCCCACCACCCCCTCGTCCCTGCGTCTGGCTAAGCACCCTGTCGCCCCAGGGAGTATGTGCAACGTGAACATTGACGAGTGTGCGGGGAGCCCCTGCCACAACGGGGGCACCTGTGTGGATGGCATCAACGCCTTCACCTGCCGCTGCCCTGAGGGCTTCCACGGCCCCACCTGCCTGGCAGAGGTCAACGAGTGTGGCAGTAACCCCTGCATCCATGGCACCTGCCGCGACGGCCTCAACGGGTATGTGAGCGGTGGGCTAGCCCAGCACTGCCCTGGCCCCCTCGCCTCACGGATAGCCCTGGAAACACACAGCCGTGCTGACAGCAGCCGGGTTTCAGGCACCACCATGTTTCCAGACGGGCTGTTAAATGACAGAGACAGCCTTATCCTCGCTCCATAGCAGTGGGGAGGTCCTGGATGTGAGGTCACAGAGAAGGCGTGACGAACATGCCCCTCACCACCCTGGGTCAGTCCAAACCTAACAGACGCAGACCCTCACCATTGCCTTGGGCGAGGTGGGCACTGCTGCCCTGCTTGGGGGAGGAAGTTCTGAGGGTCAGAGAGGACCTATGCCTCTGTGCAGTCAGACTGTAGGATGGTGGTGGGGCCAGGGTGGCGTCTGAGCCACGTACTGCGGCTCCTCCAGGTACAAGTGCATCTGTGACCCTGGCTGGAGCGGAGCCAACTGTGACATCAACAACAACGAGTGCGAATCCAACCCCTGTGGCAACGGCGGCACCTGCAAGGATATGACCAGTGGCTACGTGTGCACGTGCCGGGAGGGCTTCAGCGGTGGGTGGCCTGGGATCTGCCGGCGCGGGTAGGGGACCGTGAGGCCTGGGGTCAGCTCCCAGGCCCCCACTCGGCCCAGGGCCGTCCAGGAGACAAGGGAGGGGGGGTGGGACGTGAGCACACTGACTGCTGTCCCCCGTGCAGGCCCCAACTGCCAGACCAACATCAACGAGTGTGCATCCAACCCGTGTCTGAACCAGGGCACGTGTATTGATGACGTCGCCGGCTACAAGTGCAACTGCCTGCTGCCTTACACGGGTGAGGGGCCGGGGCAGCGGGGGCGCAGCAGAGAAACATGGCTGGGCCTCGTCTGCAGCCTCTCAGCAAGCGTTCTGGATGGTTCTCTCCAGACTTGGGGCCCTAGGCCCTGTCTGGTCGGGCAGCAGATCTGCCTAACAAGCGAGCGCCCTGCACTGCTTATATCTGTGTCTGAGATCGGCAGTGTCCCCAGTTCTGTGTCTGGCCTGGAGGTGAGGCGGCCTGGGCCTCCCATCTGGCATCCACCTGCTGTCCACTCAGCCATGGCCTCTGAGGTCCTCCCTGACAGCCTCCAGAACCTCTTGCAAAGAACAGGCCCTCGCTGCCCAGGCTGAGCGAGGAGGGAAGATGTCCCTGGGTGGCCCACCTGGTGGTTGGCCAAGGGGTCTCAGGAATGGTCCCCTCAGAAGAGAGGTTGTTGGGGGTAGTTAAGAACGAATTCCACCACCCCCAGGGCCTCTGGGCTCTCCTGGGATCGGCAGAGGGTGGCCAGGGGTGCTCCCCCAGGGTCCCATGACGCTGGGCAGCCATGGCTGGGGCCAGGTTTTCATCAGGGGCAATGCCAGGGGCCTGAGTTTCCTCTCCCACGATGGTGAGGTGCCCCGTGGCCACTCAGGGCCTCCACCAGGGCGCACCCAAGCCTTGGACTCAACAGCTGTCGTGGCTCTGAGGGCTTGCGGGTGGGGCGACCTGTGCTGACCACTTCCTGTCTGCCGGCTTCCTGCTTCCCCTCACACAATTGTCGGAAATGCTGGCGAATTTCCTGCCTGCTCGTGTCACTGTGGAAACCGATAGAAGGAAAGGTTCTGGAAAATCGCAGGGCCGGCCGGAGAGATAGTGGCGACAAGGACCGAGTGCTTCCCCGCTTCCTTGGACCGGCCCTGGGGCTGTAAACAGGAACCCGGCAGCCCCGCTTGCCCGAGTTCCCATGAGGCATGCAGCCAGGCCCCTTCCCTGGCCTGACGCTCCCCGACGATGGGGTCCGCTGAGGTGGCACAGCCCCCAGTCGGGTGCAGGTGTCCGGCTCAGCCCTTGTCCCCCGTGCTCTGGCAGGTTCACACCAGGCCCAGCCTGTAGGGGACAAGTGGTAGCTTGGGAGCTGGGCGTTTGGTCTGCAGCCCCCCCATCTGTGTTCCACTCTCTTCTCCCGCCATCATGGTCCCAGCTCACCCTGGGTCCAGGTGCAGCGCCACCTGCCTCCTGTGGGGCTCTGAAAGTGACTACCAGTGTGTGACGGTTCACACGTGAGCAGGTGCTGTGGCTGCCCGGGCCAGTGTGGACCCCTAGCCCTTGGCCCCAGGCTTCACCGTGTGTCTCCACGCCCAGGAGCTGTGTGTGAAGTGGTGCTGGCACCGTGTGCCCCCAGCCCCTGCAGGAACGGTGGGGAGTGCAGGGCGTCCGAAGACTATGGGAGCTTCTCCTGTATCTGCCCCGAGGGCTGGCAAGGTACTTGTCAACCTATGGCCTCACTCACGTCACGTCCGGGGAAGCTGGGTGTTCGGGGGGTGGTCTTAGGGAAGCTCCGGGCAGGGGGACAGCGCACCTGTCTTTGGAGATGAGCCAGTCGGGAGGTTCTGGAGTCAGGAACAGCTTGGAGGACCTTCCCTATCCTGAGTGTCTAAAACTTTCTTGACCCAAAACTGGGGGTCGGCAACATCAAACACTTGGTGCCTTTCTTGAAGAGTGCTCAGCGGGTGGCCCTGGGGCTGAGGGGCTTCTGCGGGGGGGGCAGGGAGGGCGGAGTTGGTGACGGCACGGCACCCCCTCACACACAGGCCAGACCTGTGAGGTCGACATTAACGAGTGTGTGAAGAGCCCCTGCCGGCACGGGGCCTCCTGCCAGAACTCCAACGGTGGCTACCGCTGCCACTGCTTGGCGGGCTACAGCGGCCGGAACTGCGAGGCCGACATTGACGACTGCCGGCCGAGTAAGTGTGAGCTCGGGGGCTGCCGGGGCAGGGCTGAACAGCTGTGGATGTGCCCAGAGAGGCCAGGCCCTGGCCAGTGGCCAGCTCCACCCACCCGAGCCTGGCCTGGAGGAAGAGTCAGAGAGGTGGTCCCTGCAGCGTGGCCCAGCTAGGGGTTCCCAGGAGGTTCCGGAGCCAGACAGCCCGGCTTCAGTTCCTTCTGGGTGCATCTCACCTGGTGGCCCGGCCAGTGGCATCCTGTCCCCTAAGTGTGCCCCGTGGCGTGTCCTCGGAGCCAGCTGGGGTCCATGGTGAGCCTCTGGGTGGAGGATTCCAGCCCCGGCCTGGTCTGCAGATAGGAGCTGAGGTCTGGAGGTGTGTGCCTCACCCGGGTCACCCAGCAAGCGGGGATGGTGATGCAACTATGATTTTTCTGACGATCAAGCCCTGTGGTAGGGGTGGAAGCCCCTGGGTAAGCACAGACCCTGCGTGTAGTGAGGTACAAGGCACAGCCTGCCAGGCCAAGGGCCTTCCAAGCTGTGCACCTTTGTCACTGCAAGGACGTGGGTCCCCTAGCATGGCTGGTGCAGGCCCTCAGACCCACCCTCCGTCCCTGCAGACCCGTGCCACAATGGTGGCTCCTGCACAGATGGTGTCAACGCAGCCTTCTGCGACTGCCTGCCTGGCTTCCAGGGCGCCTTCTGTGAGGAGGACATCAACGAGTGCGCCAGCAGCCCCTGCCGCAATGGCGCCAACTGCACAGACTGCGTGGACAGCTACACGTGCACCTGCCCTGCTGGCTTCAGTGGGATCCACTGTGAGGATAACACCCCTGACTGCACCGAGAGGTGGGTGCCGTGCTGTGCAGGTTGGTCCCAAGCGCGAGGCCATAGAAGCTTGGCAGTATGAAGAGTGGGGGCCCTGAGAGGGCGTGCAGGGGCTGCACCGGTGTCCTGGCAACCTGGTGGGTATGCCGGGCAGGGTCCACCTGGCAGCCCTCAGTGCGAGTTGAGTCCAGGCGTTTGGTCTTCAAAAAAGACCATCGTCACACAGACCTCCTGTGCCTTAGAACCAAAGCACAGTGGTGTATCCTGCGGACAAATGCTTTGTAACACATCTTCTTTCCCTGTTTGCCTCGGCTGCCAGGAAGCTCGGCGTTCCACGTTGATCTTATCCGTAGTTTCTGTACAGGTTTTGGTTCCTCTTTAATTACATGTCTCATTCCTTCATGTTGTGAACCTCTCTTAATTACAAAGAAGCCAGAGGCAGGGTGTGTGATGTACTGTGCGGGCCTGAGGTCCCTAGTGTTGGGTCAGGGGCCTCCTTGCAGTCAGGCAGGCTGCCCCCGTAAGTGATCGTAGTCTGGGCCCGAGGCAGGGATGGCAGCCTGGAGGAGCCTGCGTGGGCAGGGGCTGACCACCGCAGCGGCTATGCTTCTGCTCACCCTGTCTGCTCCCCGTGTCCCCCAGCTCCTGCTTCAATGGTGGTACCTGTGTGGATGGCATCAACTCCTTCACCTGCCTGTGTCCACCCGGCTTCTCGGGCAGCTACTGCCAACACGACATCAACGAGTGTGACTCACGGCCCTGCCTGCACGGTGGGACCTGCCAGGACAGCTACGGCACCTACAAGTGCACCTGTCCCCAAGGCTACACCGGCCTCAACTGCCAGGTGGGGACTGAACAGGAGCTGGTGCTGGGCTGAGCTGTCCCCCCGGGATCAGAATGAGGTGATGGGACCCACTGCTGCAGGGCAAGGGACCAGTGTCTAGAGAGGCTGCTTTCATTCAGGGGTCCCCTGAAGCCTCAGTTATAAAAACCTCCCGGGCACGGCTGCTCGCTTCCTGGGGCAAACCTTCCTTTAAGTAAAGGCAGCAGGTGGCCTGCTCCCCAGGGGCCCCCTGACAGCTCAGGACCCCAGCCCAGGCCACGTGGCACAGTGGGGAGTGCGTGGCCTTGGTTTCCACCTTTGAGGAGTGGGGGCCGCCTGGCTTGAGGCGTGTGTCCCGTGCTACTTTGTGGGTATGTCTGGAAGTCCATTCCGGTGGGGTCCTGTGACTCCCACGCAGCTAACGCGGGAGGTCCGCCTGACACCAGCCTGCTGTCCCCAGAACCTGGTACGCTGGTGTGACTCCTCGCCTTGTAAGAACGGTGGCAAGTGCCGGCAGACCAACACACTGTACCACTGCCAGTGCAACAGCAGCTGGACCGGCCTCTACTGTGACGTGCCCAGCGTGTCCTGCGAGGTGGCTGCGAAACAGCAAGGTGACGGCCCTGGGGTCTGCCTCCAGACCAGGTGGGGGGGGGGTCCCAGCGGCAAGCCCGGCCTCACGGCCCCGCCACACCCCACAGGTGTTGACGTCGCCAACCTGTGCCGGCACGGCGGACTCTGCATGGACACGGGCAACACCCACCACTGCCACTGCCAGGCCAGCTACACGGGCAGCTACTGCGAGGCCCAGGTGGACGAGTGCTCGCCCAACCCCTGCCAGAACGGTGCCACCTGCACGGACTACCTGGGCGGCTACTCCTGTGAGGTGAGCCTGCGTGCAGCACCTGTCCCGTCTGTCACGTGGCTGGTGAAACGGGAGAGTGAACCTGAGACACAAACGTGGCTCGTCACCAGGGCTGGAGAGCTGGGGCTTCCAGGGCACTGCTTGGAGGAGATGGCCTGTGGGGATCCTGGGGGTGAGGGGTGTATGGTGAAGGGTTGTGTTCCCTCCCCCACGTGCCTGAGCTCCACTGAGGCCTGCCCTGGGCCCACTCTGTCCTATGGGACGGGTCCCAGCCCCCACCCCGGACAGTGCCTCTCAGCTTTCCAGGTTTCCCAGCCAGTGGGCCTGTGGGTGCACGGGTGCCATGTCATGTCACCACTGACTTGCATCTTCTGCAGTGTGTCGCCGGCTACCACGGGGTTAACTGCTCCGAGGAGATCAACGAGTGCCTGTCCCACCCATGCCAAAACGGGGGCACCTGCATTGACCTCACCAACACATACAAGTGCTCCTGCCCGCGGGGCACGCAGGGTGAGGGCTGAGCGGGGGCCAGGGTGCAGGTCTGGGAGAGCAGCCTGTGGGGTGTGCAGGGCTGGGGCTGGGAGAGCTGCCTGAGGGCCATGTAGGGTAAGGGCCATAGGGCATGCAGGGTGGGGGGCCGGGGCGCAGGGAGAGCTGGCAACAGAGGGCCCTGGAGAGTGTATGGCTACGCAGGGAGGCCCAAGGGGCATTCTGGCCAGGCCGGCAGCCCATGGCGGGACACGCAGGGCCCAGCCTCCACCCCCATCAGTACCTGGTCTTTCCTGAGCACCTGCGTGGCCTGGGGCTGCCCTTGAGGACTCGGGGCTAGCCGGCCAGCACCCTGACCCTGAGGGCGCTGGGCCCACAGGCATGCACTGCGAAGTGAATGTAGATGACTGCAGCCCGCCTGCGGAGCCCGGGACGCGGACCCCCAAGTGCTTCAACAACGGCACTTGCGTGGACCAGGTGGGCGGCTACAGCTGCGCCTGCCCACCCGGCTTCGTGGGGGAGCGCTGTGAGGGTGACGTTAACGAGTGCCTATCCAACCCCTGCGACGCCCGAGGCACCCAGAACTGTGTGCAGCGTGTCAACGCCTTCCACTGCGAGTGCCGGCCTGGCTACACCGGTGGGCACCCAGGCAGGGCAGATGAGGGGGCAGGGGCGGGCGGCCCCGAGTGGCCCCTCACACCCCCTCCCCACCCAGGGCGCCGCTGCGAGTCAGTTGTCAACGGCTGCAAGGGCAAGCCCTGCCAGAATGGGGGCACATGTGCCGTGGCCTCCAACACAGCCCGTGGCTTCATCTGCAAGTGTCCCCCGGTAGGTGCTATGGCCCGTGGGGGCGGGAGGCCTGGGTCCCACGCTGCCACCCAGTACCACAGTGTGGTCTGACGCTTCTGTTGACCAGCCTGCTTTCAGACAGCCTGAGGGCCACAGCCAAGTCTGTGAGGGGCTGTCTACTCTGTCCCTACCATCCGGGTGGCCCTTGAGGGGTTTGCTGCCAGAGGGAGAGCAGCCGGCCATGGGGCAGGGCTGAGGTGTGGGCCCTGGGAGCCACTCTTACTCCCTGCACCTCCCAGGGCTTTGAGGGCGCCACCTGTGAGAACGATGCACGCACCTGTGGGACCCTGCGTTGCCTCAATGGCGGCACCTGCCTGTCGGGCCCACGCAGCCCCACCTGTCTCTGCCTGGGCCCCTTCACCGGCCCCGAGTGCCAGTTCCCGGCCAGCAGCCCCTGCGTGGACAGCAACCCTTGCTACAATCAGGGCACCTGCGAGCCCACGACCGAGAGCCCCTTCTACCGCTGCGTCTGCCCCCCTAAGTTCAACGGGCTCTACTGCCACATCCTGGACTATAGCTTCAGCGGCGGCGCCGGGCGTGACATCGCGCCACCGCCCATAGAGGAAGCCTGCGAGATCCCCGAGTGCCACGCCGATGCCGGCAACAAGGTGTGCAGCGTCACCTGCAACAACCATGCGTGTGGCTGGGACGGCGGCGACTGCTCCCTCAACTTTGATGACCCCTGGAAGAACTGCTCGCGCTCCCTGCAGTGCTGGAAGTACTTTAGCAACGGCCACTGCGATGCGCAGTGCGACTCGGCCGGCTGCCTCTTTGACGGCTTCGACTGCCAGGGCAGCGGGGGCCAGTGCAAGTGAGTGTGGGGCGGGGCGAGTGAGTGGGGCGGGGCGAGTGAGCGTGGGGCAGGGCGACTGTGGGGCGGGGCCAGTGTGGGTGTGGGGCGGGGAGAGTGAGTGTGGGGCGGGACCAACGAGCATAGGACAGAGCGAGTGGGGCGGCAGGACCAGTGCAAGTGAGCGTGGGGTAGGGCGGGGCGAGTGAGCGTGGGGCGGGGCCAGTGCAAGCTCGCTCAGGGGTCTAGCAAATGGGCTTTGGGCTTGGCGTGTGAGCGCGGGGCTGGTGCATGTGCTTGCAGGGGGTGGGGCGAGCGATGGGGGTTGGAGTGGGGCGGGGACAAGGGAGTGCAGATGGGTGGAGGCAAGCTGGGGGGGCTCGGGTGGTAAGGGGATGGGGACTTGTGGGGGCAAACTAGTGCGGGGTGGTGTGGGACCAGTGCAGGTGGGCATGGGGAGGGGGTTGGGGACGGGGACAAGCGAGTGGCAGGGTCGCATGGAGCGCGGATCCAGGATGGGGCTCAGTGCATATGAGAATAGGGGTACAGGGACAGACTGGGCGAAGAATCTAGCGGCCAGGGGCCAGGGATGGCATAAGCAGAGGGAAGCGCTCCCTCGATGTGGTTCCAGGGCAACAAGACGACCAGATGCTGGCCAAGGCTGTGGCCTGGGAGGGCAAGACAGCCGGTGGAGGGGTCCTGCGGCCTTGGGTAGGCTGCAGGGCCCCGCAGAGGGCGTGGGCAGGGAGGCACAGGGGCAGGAAGCCGAGGCCTGAGCAAGCCTGCCCCGCAGCCCGCTGTATGACCAGTACTGCAAGGACCACTTCCGGGACGGGCACTGTGACCAGGGCTGCAACAACGCCGAGTGCGAGTGGGATGGGCTGGACTGCGCGGAGCGCGTGCCCGAGAGGCTGGCGGCCGGCACGCTGGTGGTGGTGGTGCTGATGGCGCCCGAGCAGCTGCGTAACAACTCATTCCACTTCCTGCGTGAGCTCAGCCGCCTGCTGCACACCAACGTGGTTTTCAAGCGCGACGCACAAGGCGAGCAGATGATCTTCCCCTACTACGGCCGCGAGGGGGAGCTGCGCAAGCACCCCCTCCGGCGCGCCGCCGACGGCTGGGCTGCGGCGCCCCGCGCCCTGCTCAGCCAGGTGCAGGCTGCGCTGCTGCCCGGGGGCAGGCGCCGGCGCAGGGAGCTGGACCCTATGGACATCCGCGGGTGAGTGACCTGCCTCGGACCGGCCCTCTCACGGCCGCCCCTGATAGACCGTGTTCTGCCTACTTGATAGAAAAAGAGACTGAAGGTCTGGCAGGACCTGGGACCTGCCCAGAGCCCAGCACGGGTGAGGGCAGACCAGGGATTCCAGCTTCAGGCTCGGGCCCTGAGGCCCTGTCCCTCCCTGCTGCCCACTGCACGGCCCACTATGCATTGTTCCTTCACCCAGTGGGGTTTGACATCCTGCCTTGCATTAGACAGTCCAGGGGTTCTTGGGCCCCAGGAGTGGCTCACTCACCATTGGTGATCACACGGTGGTCAGCGTGTTCACCACCTTGATTTGGCTGGTGGGGGTGCAAGGCCAAAGGCAGAACGAGGAATGACCTGGCCCAGCTCCCCGGAGAGGACCTGGGGCTCCTGTCCTTCCTTCCGTAATGAGAAGAGAGGGTTGAGAAGGGGGTGTCATGGGACCAAGGCAGCCACAGAAGGTGCTGGGTGGGCACGGGGAGTACCCTGATGGAGGGGTGTTGACTGCCCTTTCCCTCCAGTCCCAGCCCCGGGCTCCTTCTCCCCAACCCCTGGGCATCCCAGGGAGGATCTGACTCTCATGTCCCTGCAGGTCCATCGTGTACCTGGAGATTGACAACCGGCAGTGTGTCCAGTCGTCCTCACAGTGCTTCCAGAGTGCCACGGACGTCGCTGCCTTCCTGGGGGCACTGGCTTCACTGGGCAGCCTCAACATCCCCTACAAGATCGAGGCCGTGCGGAGTGAGTGGGCCCCACCCCCCGCCCTGCCCCGCCGGGCTTGCATCTCCTGCCCAAATGCCACTGCTCTCATGTGGGTCACCAGCCGGAACACCACGTGCCGCTGGAGGAACCCTCTGGAATTCCCCACAGCACGTCCTACCTGGCCAGGGGGACACACATCCGCCCGCAAGTGGGAGTCCTTCTCTCTCCCACCCCATTCCCCAACTCTTGTCTGCAGGGAATTATTTCAAAATCATTATAGCTTTTTTTTCAAAACAGAGAGAGAGAGAAAAAAATTGATTGGTATCACGTGAAGTGTTGAAGTTTGTATCTCGAAAATCCCCCTAAATCCTTTGTCTTACCGGCTCGATGCGAGCCCGGCAATGTGAAGTTCCTTAATCCTCCTGCCTGAAAGCAGAGGCAGCGTGCCGTCTCCAGATAGTCGGCCTGCAGGAGAGAACTTAGCGATAGTTTGCAATTCTGATGAATCTCACAGAAAATGACCTTATTTTGGGGGGCGGGACGGGAGAGCAGCCGGGCCCTGGCCGTGCAGCTAGTCCGCTGTGCGCGGCTACGGAGCCGGAACCTGATGCCTGGGCGCCGGCTGGCGGTCCCTGTGCCCACAGGTGAGAGCGTGGAACCCCCGGCCCCAGCGCCGCTGCACTTCATGTACGTGGCCGCGGCCGGCTTCGTGCTGCTGGCCTCCGTGGGCTGCGGGGTGCTGCTCTCTCGCAAGCGCCGACGGCAGCACGGCCAACTCTGGTTCCCCGAGGGCTTCAAGGTGGCCGAGGCCAGCAAGAAGAAGCGGCGGGAGCCCCTCGGGGAGGACTCCGTGGGCCTCAAGTAAGTAGGGGCGTGGGCGGGATCCTCAAGTCAGGAGGAGGCGCCCTGCAGCAGGCACCTCACAGTGTAGCCCAGGGGGTAACTGGTCGCTGCACCCCCACACAGTGGGGCCTGGCCCCAGCAGACTCACAGTCCCCCAGCATGCTCTGGGGGGAAACTGATCACTTCCTTGTCAGGGCCTGCCCCCACACAGCATAGCCCAGGGGGGCCCTGGTCTAGGAGTAGCAGTCACCCCCCCTCATCAGTCCCTGCCCCACCCCGCACACCCATGGGTCCCCCACAGCATGGCCTGGGTGGTACCTGGTCCCCACCACCACCACCAGGCATGCCCTCCAAGACCTTCAGCCCTTCATTGTGTTCTGGGGAACCTGCTCAGCTGCCATGAGAGACTGCTCCCCGAGACCTGGATACCTCCCTTTGCACGTTCTGGGAGGACCTGCCTCCTCTAGACCCACAGGCAGGGCTCCCCATGTCAGAGTGGCACCACAAGCTGTGCCTTGGAGGCGTTTCCTGACAGCCGCTCAGTCTTGCCCCCCCCCCCCCCGCCAGGCCCCTGAAGAACGCCTCCGATGGCGCCCTCATGGACGACGGCCAGAACGAGTGGGGAGACGATGACCTGGACACGAAGAAGTTCCGGGTGAGTGAGCCGGCCCACGGCCCCACACGCAGCCCACCTGCGCCCGGCTGACACGGTTCTCTGCTCGTTGCCCTGCAGTTTGAGGAGCAGGTGGTCCTGCCCGACCTGGATGACCAGACAGACCACCGGCAGTGGACCCAGCAGCACCTGGACGCCGCCGACCTGCGCGTGTCTGCCATGGCCCCTACGCCACCCCAGGGCGAGGGCGATGCTGACTGTATGGATGTCAACGTCCGTGGGCCCGGTGAGTGCCGTTCCCACTGCCCGTCCACCCGCCGCTGCCCACCCGCTCCCGCCACCCATCCACCCGCCACTGCCCGCCCACCTGCTGTCTGCACTCCTTACTCTCTACCTGCCCCTGCCCTGCCCAGGGGCTTAAGCAGCCTCCTCTCCCCTGACCCCGGGACTGCCTTTCCCCTTATGCCTACAAGCTTTTTTTTTTAACCCAAAGGCGTTTTTTCAGACACACTGTTGCTGATGCTGCTGTCCTCTGGGTGGGTGGGTAGCATCTTGCAACTCAGGAAGCAAAGCCACGGGGGTCCACATAGTGTGACTGCCAGGGGGTCACGCGTACTGGGGAGCGTGTCTCCTTGGCAACCCAGCCAGCTTGGACCTGTGGTCCATTCCCAGGGGCCATGGGCAGATGAGGGTATGTGTGACTGTCTTACTAAGCCGCCCGGTCTCTGCACCCCTGCAGACGGCTTCACGCCCCTCATGATAGCCTCCTGCAGCGGAGGGGGCCTGGAGACGGGCAACAGTGAGGAGGAGGACGATGCCCCGGCAGTCATCTCCGACTTCATCTACCAGGGCGCCAGCCTGCACAACCAGACCGACCGAACGGGCGAGACCGCCCTGCACCTAGCCGCCCGCTACTCGCGCTCCGACGCTGCCAAGCGCCTCCTGGAGGCCAGTGCAGATGCCAACATCCAGGACAACATGGGGCGGACCCCGCTACACGCAGCCGTGTCTGCGGATGCGCAGGGAGTGTTCCAGGTGAGCCCCGGTCCCGAGCACGGCACAGCAGGTGCCGGCGCCTCCACCCCACTCCCCTGCTCTGGGAGGGGTGGTGAGGCTAGAGGACACCCTGCCTGCTGCCTGACTGTCACAGAGCTGCTGTAGCGAAGTGCCACACATGGATGGCCTTGAAGGGCAGACCCTGTCGACTCGTAGCTGTGGGGACTCTCGTTCAGGCTCTCGGCCATGTTGCCTCCTGCGGACCTCTCTCCTGGTTTCTGGAGGCTGCCTCGGTCCAGGGCTCCTCTGTGGCCCACAGAGGTGCCAGACTCTCCCCACGTCTCTGTCCCACTCTTAGGAAACCACCACCGGGAGAGGGTTAGGGTTAGCACCCACTTCTCCCACATGCCCTCATTAACAGGAGACAAAGCTTCCAGACAGGGTTAGGGTCACAGTGCAGGGGTTGGGCCCGCCACATAACAGTGTCCTCTCGGGAAAGCCAGGCCTGAGACAGTGCAGAGAGCACCTGAGGGCCTGCACTGAGGCCGCCCACCCTGCCCTGGGCGGCCCTGGTCTGAGGAATGGGCCTCGCTCTCCCCTCCCCCAGCAGCAGCCCCCTGGGGCCTCAGCCCTGCGGCCTCCTGGCCCCTCCCCCGGAAGCAGTGGCCATGGCCAGAGGCAATGCTGGAGGCGGAGAGAGGGAGGTTGAGCTGCTGCGCACAGCCTCACACCTGGGGCCTGGGCTTGCTGGGAGCCCCGCGAGCTGGAGGGAAGGGTTTGGATGCTGGGTCCCTGGGGGATCACAGCAGAGGCTGCCTGGCCGCCAACATCCGGGCTGTCCCACCCTGCTCTGCACACATGGGGCACAGTGGAGAGTTTCCAATCTTCAGATAATTGTTAAGTGACCGGTAGCCGCTATTTAACAATCAGAGACCAAGATAAGCCAAAAGAAGGGGGCAGCCCAAGACATGCCCTGCCATCCCTTCCTGCGGCCCTGCTTAGGAACACGCCAGACTGTGCCATGCTTTGCCCCCACCTTTCCCACCAACAGCAATCGTGACCCCCTTCCCATCGGTGACACCGGGCCCCTCTAATGGCTGCCAGCACATCTCATCGTGCCCGGGAGTGTGGCATCACCCAGTGGGTCCGCTTAGTGGACTCAGGCCTGCCTCCACCCCCTGACTGTACTCGGGGCCTGGCCGTGCTGCCCTGTTCTGGAGGGAACTGAATGGTCGCATGAGGCCATGACGGGCCCCTGCTGTCTCCACGGGCCGGTCTGGCTGGGCTGGGGGCAGTCTTGTTCCGGGTGGGAGGAGCTGGCTGCTGCCTCCTGAGCCCCACCAGCGCCCTGCTGCTGCCTAGATCCTGATCCGGAACCGAGCCACAGACCTGGATGCCCGTATGCACGACGGCACCACGCCGCTGATCCTGGCTGCGCGCCTGGCCGTGGAGGGGATGCTGGAGGACCTCATCAACTCCCACGCCGACGTCAACGCTGCCGATGACCTGGGTGAGTGCTGCGGCCGGGACCCGAGGGTGGGGCAGGGGGCTGCGGCCACGCCACCCAACCGCCCCCATCTGGCCCGCAGGCAAGTCAGCCCTGCACTGGGCCGCCGCCGTGAACAACGTGGATGCCGCCATTGTGCTCCTCAAGAACGGGGCCAACAAAGACATGCAGAACAACAAGGTGAGTCAGGGGCCAGGGCCGAGGTCACGGGGGTCACACTGGGCCAGTACCAGGGCAGGGCTGGGGCACTGAGGCTGAGGTTATGGGGGTCACACGGGCCCAGGGCCAGGGTCATGGGGTCATACAGGGCCAGGGGGCCGAGGTCACGGGAGTCACGTGGGGCCCGTACTGGGGCAGGGCAGGGGGTGTGGCCAAGGTCATGGGACTCACATGGGGCCAGGGGACCAGGGCCAGGATCCTGAGGTCATACGGGGCTAGAGGGCTGGGCCCAGGGTCACAGGAGGTCACATGGAGCCCATACTAGGGCAAGGCCAGAGGAGGGGCCCAAGGTCACAGGTGCCTGGGTCAGATGGGACCAGAGTACGGGGAGACAAAGTGAGGTAGAGTGGGGGGCTGGGCAGTGAGGGGCAGGGGCCGAGTTTCACAGGGTGGAGTCAGTCACACCCGCCAGCCTTAGTTTCCAAGTCAGAGAGCGAGGGTCTTCCCTGCCCACCGGCCACAGTGAGATTCCCCTACACACATAGGTCAGGCACGGGGCCTGATGCTCCTGCTTGCCTGGGGACAGGTGGCATGCCAGCCTCACTGTGGCACTGTTATCTCGGCCTCACCCTGCCCCCTCAGTTGTCAAGGGACGGTGGCCAGGGACTGAGGCTGCACAGCGGTGGGCACAGGACCCCATAGGCCCGTATGAGCGGTCCCTTCCTCCACACGGACACCTCGTCCAGCCCACGCTTGGCTAAGGAAGCTGGGCCGTGCGTCCCAGTTCCTCTGTAGCATGAGCCCCACCCTGGTCTCTGGAAGCCCACTGCTGCCCCACACCTGCTAAGAGGCATCTTGGGTGTTGGATGGTCGACCACAGACAGCTCCCCTGTGTGTGTTAGCCAGAGGCTTGCCCTGAAATGGGAGTACCTGTGTTCCCCAGTGCCCATTCTTCTAGAGTATGGCCTCACTGCATGGAGCGGCTGGGCCCAGACTCACAGGCCCAGCCAGAGGGTCAGCCCTGGCTGTGAGCGTAGCCAAGGCCGTGTGTGTGCCAGGCAGATACTATAGGCCCCTCACAGACTGTCACGCCTCAGCTGGTGGCCTCAGAGGGGACATGCGGTATGTCCACTCAGAGATGGGGAAGCAAGCCCCAGAGAAGCTAAGATGTTGAGGTCCCTTGGGGCTCACCCAGACGGGGCCCGTGTGGCCCCTGGGTCACCCTACACGCTTAGAATTGCTTTGGCGTTTTGTATGTGTGCGTTTTGCGGGTTTCTCAGTCGGATCACAGAGGAGGCCGGGCCGGGCTGCTGACGGGCCGTCCAGGACCCTGCGATGTCAGAGACGGCCTTGGCATTAAGGAAGCATTGACCGGGCCTGTGTGTGAAGGGAACCGGGGGTGGGTCAGGACAGGCCGGCCCTGGCAGTGATCTGGCCGCTCTGGTGAGGATGAGCACTGGGCGGGTGCCACGATCACACGGCCCCTCACGGCCTGTGCCCACAGGAGGAGACGCCCCTGTTCCTGGCCGCCCGAGAGGGCAGCTATGAGACGGCCAAGGTGCTGCTGGACCACTTTGCTAACCGGGACATCACAGACCACATGGACCGCCTGCCTCGGGACATCGCACAGGAGCGTGTGCACCACGACATCGTGCAGCTGCTGGACGAGCACAACCTGACCCGCAGCCCCCCGCTGCACGGCGCCGGCCCCAGCGGTGCCCCCACCCTGCCGCCCCCGCTGTGCTCCCCCAACGGCTACCTGGGCAACCTCAAGCCGGCCGTGCAGGGCAAGAAGGCCCGGAAACCCAGCACCAAGGGCCTGGCCTGCGGGGGCGGCAAAGAGGCCAAGGAGCTCAAGGCTCGGCGGAAGAAGGCCCAAGGCGGCAAGGGCTGTCTCCTGGACGGCGCCAGCGTGCTGTCGCCCGTGGACTCCCTCGAGTCGCCGCACGGCTATCTGTCGGACGTGGCCTCCCCGCCCCTGCTGCCCTCCCCGTTCCAGCCGCCTCCGTCCCTGCCTCTCAACCACCTGCCCGGCATGCCCGATGCCCACCTGGGCCTCACACACCTGAACGTGGCGGCCAAGCCAGAGACGGCAGTGCTGGGCGGGGGCGGCCGGCTGGCCTTTGAGGCTGGGCCGCCACGCCTCTCCCACCTGCCGGTGGCCCCCAGCACCAGCACCGTGCTGGGCACCGGTGGGAGCACCATGAATTTCACCGCGGGTGGGGCCGCCAGCCTGAGCGGGCAGTGCGAGTGGCTGTCCCGGCTGCAGAACAGCAGGGTGGCAAGCCAGTACACGCCCCTGCGCGCTGTGGCCAGCACCCTGTCCCCGCAGACGCCCACTCTCCAGCATGGCACCATGGGCCCATTGCACGGTGCTCTCTCCTCCGGCACCCTGTCTCAGGTGCTGAGTTACCAGGGCCTGGCCGGCCCACGGCTAGCCCCCCAGCCGCACCTGGTGCCCGCCCAGCAGCCGCAGCAGGCCCAGCCACAGCCTCAGCAGCAGCAGAGCCTGCAGCCGCCCCCACCGCAGCCGCCGCAGCCACACCTCGGCGTGAGCTCAGCAGCCAACGGCCACTTGGCCCGGAGCTTCCTGGGCGGCGAGCCGAGCCAGGCAGACGTGCAGCCACTGGGCCCCATCAGCCTGGCAGTGCATACCATCCTGCCACAGGAGGGCCAGGTCCCGCCCACGGCGCTGCAGCCCTCACTGGCACCGCCCCTGACTACTGCCCAGTTCCTGACGCCACCCTCGCAGCACAGCTACTCCTCACCCACAGACAACACCCCTAGCCACCAGCTGCAGGTGCCCGAGCACCCCTTCCTCACACCGTCGCCTGAGTCCCCCGACCAGTGGTCCAGCTCCTCGCCGCGCTCCAACATCTCCGACTGGTCCGAGGGCATCTCCAGTCCACCCACCAGCCTGCAGTCCCAGATCACCCACATTCCAGAGGCATTCAAGTAAACAGCCGTGCCCAGGACCTCTGCTTCCTCTCCCAAGCCCAGGCCCACAGGGCCCGTCTGGAAAACTGTGATTTTTATACGAAACAGGAGGACACGCATTTTAGCCTTTTTTTTTTTTAAGTATTTATTTATGTACTTTCGTTTTACACGGAAACACTGCCTTTTTATTTATATGTGCTATTCTCCAGGCACCAGGTTGGAACGTGTGTCCACGCTGGGAAAAGCATGTTCTCAGACTATTTGGCTTCGGATAAAGACACTTTATGTGTGCTTGTAAAATAGCAACGAAGAGTCATGATTTATAAACGCATTTATTTATTGATTTCTTTTTTCAAAGTCCAAAAAGGAATGCTGTAAGAGGAAGGGAGCCCTAAACCAGCGATGTCCAAAAAGCTCCCGGTTCCCGGGGCTGGTGCTGCGTCCCCTGACCCCCCACCCCCGCCGGATCCTGGTCCCTTCCAGCATCACCTGTGTCCAGAGACGCGCAAGGAAGCCAGCCCTCCCCAGCTGTGGCCCGCGGACTCATGGGCACCTGAAGTAGGGTGTCTGAGGCGGACTCTGCAGTAAAGTGATGGGGCTGGTGTGCCTTGGGGTTTTCAAAGGCTGTTTAAAACGTGTTTTAAGGTGCTTTCTTGGGGTGTCTCAAGGGTGCATTTCAGGGTACCAGATGTGAATCCTTGTTTTGGGTTCAGTATTGTGTGGTTGTCCACTGGTCCTGCGAGGCCTTGAGTTTTCACGAAGCCCTGCCCTGCGTGGTATTGCAGCACCGTGGAGCGAGAGCCGTCGGCACTGGGCCCACCGGGCCATCCCTGCGGCCTGCACCTCCACTCCAGTGGGTTTCCCAGGTGCAGTGGCTGCTGGACTGGGATGGTCTGGGCCGGGCTCAGAACCTGTGACCTGCTCCTGCTTTTTAAAGGGAGCTTGCGAGAGAACCTATGACAAGGTTGTGTCCTTAGGTCTTCGTCATGTGCACAGAAACCGTTGGTCCCAGGGGGCACCTGGCGGAGGCAACCCCCAGGGTGGTGTGGAGTCTGCTGGCAGAGCGCCCCCTCCCCCCAGTTCAGAGGGGCACCTGCCTGGAGGAGAGTATCTCATGATATTGAGTATAAGCCTGTGGCCGAGAAAATGACTGTAAATAGATTTTTAAAGGTGGATTTTGTTTAAAAAATCTGACTAGCGGGTCTGTTGTGCGTCATGCTGACAGGGGTGTCGGAACACGCCTTGGCCCGGTGCAGCCCGGCCTGCGACCTCAGCTGCCAGACAGTAGCTCCTAAGAGCACAGACTAGGAAGGGCCGGTCACTGGCGCCTTGTGAGGGGCCCGGCGTGGCCTGGTGGGGCAATGTACTGCCGTAGCCCGTGGGCATGGCCAGGCTCGCCCCGAGATGTTGATTCTTACTGTGTTTTATAAAATAGAGTGTAGTTTACAGGAAATGTGACTTTTTAAAAGTTATCTACATGCAGAACTGTAGGCAAGTGATCTTTTTTTTTTTTTTTCATCTTCTTTTAACTGATTTGCAATAAAAGGATACCAGTGACCGTCTGGATTTTGCTAAACTTGGCTGTGGCCTGGGCTCATTTTCGGTGCTCTGAGGTGGCCAAAGTTCCCTGCACTGGCCACAAGAGGGTGCAGGGGGCCACCTGTCTTTTCAGAAGTTCTACAGAATCTCTGTGCCCCCCAGTAGGGGACAGGGGCAGCCCGTCAGAGAACTCTGCTGACCCATCCCAGGAGCCCCACAGTAGGCAGGGGTGGGGGAACCTGCAGAGAGGCACCCTGCCCAAGTGGACGGTACAGGGAGCCCTGGAGTGCCAGCACAGGGTGGCCGTGGGGACAGTGCTGTGCAGAAGTACACAGACGCAGAGCCAAGGTGGTCTCCACCCTGCAGCCTGGGCACCACGAGTGAAGGCTTCACCCCTGCCAGGCACTCCACGTGGGCTCACCCCGCACTCCCCACCTGTGTTCTGGACACCACTCTGCCTCCTCCACCTGGCCCCACACTTTAGGGGCCTGCTGGCAGGTGGCTTCACACCAGAATGACAAAGGGCAGTTGAGTTGGATGTCCCCCTCTACCTGGGTGAACCAAAGACTGCTTCCCACATCTGGGGCTCCCTCCACACCCAGCATGGTGCCGGGCACCCAGATCCTTGATGACACGAAATTCCTGGAGCAGTGACAGTCCTCAGGATGAGGGGGCTGACTCGTGTCTTCTTGGGGAGTGGGCTCAGCCTGAGTGCCACCAAAGAACCCCAGAGTCTGCATCCCACCCGAGTGACTGGACGGCAGGGACTCAGACACGTGGTCCCTGGTGTCCACACACAGGGCTCGGACACGCGGCCCCCAGCATCCACACAACGGCTCCCAGACACGTCCCCCGGTGTCCACACACAGGGCTCGGACACGCGGCCCCCAGCATCCACACAACGGCTCCCAGACACATGGCCCCCAGTGTCCACACACAGGGCTCGGACACGCGGCCCCCAGCATCCACACAACGGCTCCCAGACACATGGCCCCCAGTGTCCACACACAGGGCTCGGACACGCGGCCCCCAGCATCCACACAACGGCTCCCAGGCACGTCCCTGGTGTCCAAACACAGGGCTCGGACACGTGGCCCCCAGCATCCATGCACACGGCTCCCAGACATGTGGTCCCTGGTGTCCACACACAGGGCTCGGACACGTAGCTCCCAGTGTTCACACACACCACTTGCATGGTCTCCGGCGTCCACACACACACGACTCGCAGACATGTGGCCCCCAGTGTTTGCGTGTGTGACTCCTAGCCACCCAAGGGTGGAGACCCCCAGGTTCCCATCAGCAGAAGATGGGGAGACACGACGTGGTCCATCCCCCCGTGGTCCATCCCCCTGTGGGATGAAGAGGAATGGCATTTGGCACCTGCCACAGCACAGGTACACACAAGCTGAGAGACAGACAAGACTCCGGTTGCCAGGCCTGGGCGGGGGGCGGCAGTGCGGGTCCAAGGTCCCAGGGGAGGGATACTTTGAACCAGACAGAGGTGGAGGACACGACACTGTGACTCCTTCACTTTTAAACGGTTGAGAGCTGTGTGAATTTCACCTCAATAAATCATTGTTTTAGAAAGAGAACTGCTGGCACTTGGAACTTCCAAGAAGTGGTTGGGGCTGTGGGGCCATGGGTTCTCAGCGAGCAGGGAAGACGCCTCCGTCTGGGGCTCTCAAGCTTAGTGAAGGGGAGCTGGTCATTGTGGGAGCCTTCAGGGCCCCGCTGCCCCGCAGGGAGCCTGCAGAGGAGGGGGCCACTCTCTGAGCCTCAACCTTCCCATCTTTAAACTGGGCGAGCTGGAAATCAGACACCCTCTCCAGCAGAAATCCCTAAGGACCAGAGCCCAGAGCTGCTGCGACAGGCCCCCGACCCCCACGCAGACAGGGAGACAAGAGCCAGACAAGGCTGACCCCAGCTGCTTGGGTCCGGCAGGGGTAGAGGGCTGCTCACCCTGCCGCCCCCACAGGCCCTGGCTCAGTGACAAGAGCCGCACCCTGGGCTGTGAAGGACTGGTTGAGACCCCAGACCCCAGATAGGGGCAGCCAGAAAGGAGGGCAGAGTTTTATGTCCCGGTCCAAACCTGCTCTCGGCGACCTCCCCCTGGATGGCAGCTCACATCACAGCTTTGGTCACCCTTCTGCGACATTTCTTCATTTTAAAAAGTCAGAAAAGTTCTTTACTCCCATCTGCCCGTTTTCCCATGTGTAAAATGGAAAACAAAGAACACAGAAGCGGCGCCGACCGGACGTCCCAGTCACTGGCATGCGCTGCATGGTGGCGTGGGTCCGGAGGGCAGAGTCACTGAGCACGGAGCCTGCAGGACAAGCGAGACCGGCAAACACACCACCCCACGGAGTTCAGAGGAGCCCGCAGTCCGGGAGTTGAGGCAGGAGCAAGGCACCGCCTCCAGCCGCTGGGGGGCCGGATCCCACGGGCGTGGGGTGTCCCGGAGACCAGCAGGAGCGCCAGAGCGCCCAGCGACCTGGAGCCGCCGCGGGGCTCAAGGTGTCTCTCTGCCGCCCCCTGCTGGCAGTGCCCCTTCTGGCAAGCGTGAGTCCTGGACAAGGCGTCTCCTGGGCCAGGGAGCTCCCCGGTTACACGTGCACCTCACCTACGCTCACAATCAACCTCCAGAGACAAGGGTCATTATCCCGATTTACAACTGAGGCTCAAGACCCGAACTGGTCTCCTGTGGCTGCTGTAACGAAACGTCACAAACTGGGGGGCTCTCAGAAATGTATTCTCTCTTAGTTCTGGAGGTTAGAGGCCCGCCCCCTCGAGGGCCAGGTCCGCACGTAGGGGGCGGGGCCCGCACGCAAGGGGCAGGGTCGAGGCCTCACGCAGCAGGGCGGAGCCCGCACGCAGGGGGCGGGTCTGCACGCAATGGAGCCGGATCCGCATGCAGGGGGCGGGGTCGAGGCCTCACGCAGCAGGGCGGAGCCCGCACGCAGGGGGCGGGTCTGCACGCAATGGAGCCGGATCCGCATGCAGGGGGCGGGGTCGAGGCCTCACGCAGCGGGGCGGGGTCCGCACGCAGGGGGCGGGGTTCGCACGCAGGGGGCGAGCGAGGCTCGCATGCGGGGGTGGGCGCGCTCGCTCGGAGGGCTCTGCCCTGCATCCTCCCTTAAAGTTCCCGGCTCCTGGTGGCGTCTGGCATTCCTGCGTGTTCTTGGCTCGTGGCAGCATCCTAGTCATCACAAGGCCTTCTCCCTCTGTCCCTGTGGGTCTCTCCTCTATGATAGGACCCTACTGGTACTGGATCATGACTCACCCTGCTCAGTGACCTCATGTTAACCAATGCCATCTGCAATGAGCCCATTTCAAACAAGGTCACAGTCACGGATACTGGGGTTGAATGCTTCAACACCTCTTTTCGGAGAACCCAATTCATCCCATGAGAGCCTACCCACCCTATGGCTTCCAAAAGGAGCTCTGGTGGTGTAGTAGGTGAGGGATTCAGCTATTAACCAAAAG